ATCCAATGTGTAACTATTCTCATCCTCTCATAGAAATTGTTAATTTTGCTTTTTTTTCCAATTGCCTGCATTACGTTCCTTCAACTTGATACCAGTTTAGGTGACCGTGAAGACATTAATGCTATTACCAATCGTCTCGCTGCAAGAACAAAAACTGTTGATGTGAGGTTCACAGATCTCTTTTTACATCTCAAGGCTGCAACAAGAAACTGTTCAGGTATCAGTGAACACTCCCAGAAGTGCGGAACAGGAACGAGCTCTTAGTTCCGTGAACAGCCTAATCGACGGCGTTGTGGAAAAAATGCAAGAAGACATGCAAGCTGGAAAAGATGTGGGTTCAGTTTTTGAGGTAATTTGTAAGTTCATAGCGGGCTATCCTGGCCCGCGTTTTTCAAATATACTATTAAGACATGCCGTCGCTATCTCAATGCTTGCAATCCCGATCAACCAGATGGACCGATCGATCAGAGATTCCAGGCACAGGTGGTTGGATGTCATTTTTCTTTGTTTGCTGAGTGTTTACTTAGCCGTGCACCACTAAATAGAAAAAATGACGACAGAACGGTTAACCTGGAAACTTTCCTGTGTATTGTAGCTGAACCGTTCTAAAAAGAACTATAAATGCTGCATCATAAAATGTATAGTAGCAGATGGAAGGGTACTAGCTCTCGGGCGTATATATGATTATTGTAATCTCGAGGAATTTATCAGTTTTTAATACGCAATTCAGCTTCCTACTGATTTTCGAATAAATCCTCCACAGAAGTGGTCTTTATTATAGATTGCGCATAGCTATCGTTTCTGATGCGTTGAAAAAGCGAAAAGTTAAGAAACTAGAAAAGGAGTTTATAGGATTTTGAACAAACTTCGTACTACTTTTTTGTCTAATAAAAATTCGCGCAAAATTTTGGCAGTTCTGAAAAACTGAGGAAAAAGTAGGCGAAATTTGCCATTGTAGATCTCATTAATAATTTCTAGAAGGACTATCTCAGCAGTTTTATCTCGTTCATCTTGTGTCCTATTTAAGGTCGTACTAGATAACGCTGCGAACACATGATCTCTTCCTTCTGTTCCAATAACAATGTCTCATTACTAATTGATCATGCCAAATAATTAAATTGGTGAAAGTATGCCTATTAACGTTTTCATATAGGACAAAACTTCTACAGAAAGATTCGTAATATAAATTACAAAATAATTGAATCAAATGCTAGAAGGTTTTTTTGGCATTCCCATAGTGGTTGCATTATGACTTTGTTAGATTCTGTGAGACTGCCTCTAGTCCTTTCTGATGTTTCAGTTTCACCCTAATTAAGTGTTAGAGAGAAGGGAGGGCGACAGAATTCGACTTAACTAGTTTTTCAATCTTTCAAATTTATTTTGGAGGTTTAGTAGGTGTTATGCATCAGGGTGAAAAAAGTTTCACATCATTTTGAATTCTTCTAAAAGACTTTCCTCAAATTCATTAATCTTCGAATATATGAACAATTATTTGAAAGTGTATTGCTATGCTTTGCTATAGATGTCGACGCTTGCGTAAAAATCATTTTCCGGCGTTTATTTTTATTCTTTCATGAGCTAGTACTTGTAAAGGATTTGTTGAAGTTGGTTGCAGAACCAAATACTTTTTTTCTAGCAGACAGCCGTCATCTCATATGTTTTATTACCGTATCGGTTGCATTACGTCTCTGCTTGGATCGTAGAGCAGGAGCATAAAAGAGATGGATACGTGGTGATCCTGGTCGCACAAAATAAGAGGAACACCTGATGCGCCTCAAAATGCTGATCAAATCTACTTCCTTTATGTGCTAAATGATTCTCTGAAGGAAGTTACAGAAGTTTTTCCGCGAATAATTCGTCTACAACACTCATTGCATGAAAACTCAACAATCACCCGAGGGGTGAAGCAAAGCCCATTTTCGTTTTTAACCCCT